ATATAACTGTCATATCTTTCTTTTCATTAATTGTTTTGAAATTGATAGGAGTTGGTTTAATTAAAAAAAAAAAAAAAAAAAAAATTAAATTTTTTTTTATTTTTATTTTTATTTTTATTTTTTTAAATTTTTTTTAAATTTTTTATTTTTTATTTAACAATAATACTAGCTTTGTTATATTTTGTTTTTTAGTTTTTTAGTTTTTTTTTAATACTACTCAATAATAATATATTTTATATAAAATATAGTTTGTTTTATTGATTATTTTAAAATTCTAAAGAAAAAAAAATAGAAAAAAAAAATAGAAAAAAAAAAAACAAAAGTTAATATTAAAAAAACGTTATTTCATACACTCAATAATAAAGAAAAAAATATAATATTAATAGTTTTTTTCAATAGTACCACTACATAAATTTTAATATTATTGATTATCATAACCAATTTTTATAATAAAATAAATTATATATAAAAAAAAAAGTAACATTAATAATATAGCTTAGTAATAATAATAATAAAAATAATAATATAAAATATTAAATATTAAATATTAAATATTACATATTAAATATTAAATATTAAATATTATATTACATATTAAATAATAATAGTTATATTTTTTATTTACAGAATTACAGGAATTTCATATTAATATTTTATTTTTTTCAAATAGTTCCAAATTACAAATTTTTACACACATTATAATAATAAATCCCAAATACATACAATGAGCAATCCAAAGAAAAGACCTTTAGATGCAATTAACGGTGGATTTGATGTTAAGCAAGAACAAGATTCAAGTGACTTTCCCTCAGATGGATTCAATACAACTAATGATGATTTAATGTCATTAATGACTTTTTTAGAGTAATTATCGATTATTATTTAACTTTATTAGAAAATTTAAAATTATACACCTATTACCCCACTCACCCACCCCCACACACAATATTCTCTTTTCATTCACTTAAATATACATAATTTAAGTAAATGTCATTTTTCAAAATAAATTTTATAACATCATACATTATGTGCTTCATTTAAATAGTAGTGCTCACATGTGTCAATCCAAATATTTTTTTTTTATTTTCTCCATAAATTAAAATTCATATGAATTTTTATTAATTATAAAATACAAAACACACCTCCTAAATTTTACCTTTTTATTATACAAATATCTCTTATATTTTTAAAATAATTTCAAAATTATTATAATAATTATAATTGTTTTTTTTTGTATTTAAATTAAAATATTAATTTTTTTTTTTTTTTTAATTTTAAAGTAATGGATCAGGACAAAATCAAAATCAAAACCAAAACCAAAACCAAAATCAAAACCAAAATCAAAACCAAAATCAAAACCAAAATCAGAATCAAAATCAAAATCAAACACAACAATTATATACTCAACAACCACAACAAACTACAATTGCAATAAAAACAGAGGGTTTGAGTGTAAATAGTGCCACACAAAATTTATATCAATATCCATTATATACTCAAGAAGTTAATCAAAATATTGGTCAAACTGTAAGTTTTTGATAAAATCTTTTTTATTTATTTATTTTTATATTTTTTATTTATTTATAAATAACTCGGTTTTACATATCAAATTTTATTATAATTACTTTTTTTGTTAATAAAATTTTATTTGTTTTTTTTTTTCCTTTTAAAATTAATAATAATTTTATTTTATCCATAAAAAAATAATCCATTATTTTTATTATTTATTTTTTTTGTTTAATTAATTATTTTAAAATTGTTTTATTATTATTGTTATATCATTTTTTGCCATCCATCTCCTATTATTATAATAATTTCATTCAATTATTATAAAATCTATTTCTTTTTCAAAAAAAAAAAAAAATCACACACTGTATGAAAGTTTTTTACTAATTTATAATTTTTATTTTTAAAAATTTAAATTTTTTTTTTTTTCAAATAATTAATTTAATTTATTTTTTTTTTTATTTTTTAATTTTTAATTTTTTTTTTTTTTTAAAAACTATTATATTTTTTTTTCCTTTATTTTAATTTAATTTCAATAATTAATAATATCCCCAACAATTAAATTAATTAATCAATAAAATAAAATTTATTTACATATACAATATAAAATAGGTACCAATTGAACCATTTTTCCAAATTGATGGTGCTCAAATTCAACAACAATTATTACAACAACAATTACAACCAATTCAAACATCACCCACTCAAATTGAAATAAATCAACAACAACAACAACAACAACCAATTCAAATTCACCAACCACAAACTATTCAAAATATTCCGCAATTACAACCAATTCAAACAATGCAACAAATTGAACAATTACCAATTATTCACCAAACTATTTCACAACCATCATTGGTTGATCAATTACAACCAATCCAAACTAATAATAATAATAATATATCATTGCCATCAAATGAAGAATTACAACAAATGAATAATCAAGTTCAAAATCAACTTCATTGCAATAACAATTCATTACCATTACCAGATCATTTATTAATTAATACACCATATGGTAATGTTTTACAACCACATCAACAAATTATCAATGAATGCTTGAAATTACATTTGGCACAAAAAGAACAATTAGAAAAGATGAAAATTGTTCAAAAACAAGTTTTGGCTCATCCTCAAAAAGAAACATTCCAAATGCTCGATAATGAACAAAATACATTGAAAAAACAAATTGATGCCGAAATTACATCACTTCAACAAATTGACCAGACATTTGTCCTTTCACCACCAGAAATTAGAAACGTGATTTTCCTTTTACATGAACTAACTATTCAAAGTATCCAATTAGAACTTTACCACGAAGAGCTTCAATTATTAGTTCGTCCACAAAATCCACCACCAACCATTGCTGCCCTTGTAGTTATTGAACAACCATTCCCAATGGTCATTACCAAATGTAAGCCTTTAGAAGATGACCCAGTAGTAGTCCAATTATTAAGCGGTACAAGAACAGAGTTACAAATGATTGGTAAAGTAAGAGCTACAATGATTGTAGAAAATCAACAAGGTTCAAAGACAAGTTCATCACCAAAAACAATTGAAACAGAAGTTGTATCTATGGATGAAACCAATCGTTTGGCAAAATATCATTTAAAATTCTTAAATGGTACTAGAAAGAACCCAGTTACCCTTAAGTTTGGTATGCAAGTTCAAGTTGTCGGTGGTACACCAGTAAATATTGAATCACCACCATCTTCACCATTCATTGTCATCACCAATGAGTGTCAATATGAAGAATCAGATGGTACTCTTCTTAAAAAAGATTCTTTTGGAAATAATAACGAAATACCTTGGGCTTCATATGCAAATAAACTTCAAAGACACTTTTTACGTGCAACCCGTCAAGATTTTATGAAACCAACTCGTTATTTATCACGTCACGAACTTATGTATATACATCATCAATTCTTTGGAAGCAAACCGATGATTCCTCAATCATCATTTGATTCATTTTGGGTATGGTTTGGTAAGGGTCTTCAAAAACTTCGTTATCAACGTCATGTCTGTTCAATGTGGCAATCTGGTTTAATCTATGGCTTTATCTCTCGTCAAAGTGTTGAAGAAGCCCTTCGTAATGAAGATCAAGGAACATTTTTAATTCGTTTCAGTGAACGTCACGCTGGTCATTTCGCTGTCGGTTATAAAGTTGATGATCCAGATCCAGAGAAAAGAATTCGTCACTATTTAGTTAAAGCGGATGATACTGCTGGTGCAAAGAAAACCCTTCCAGACTTTTTATCTGAATGCCCACAATTCACCAAAATACTTCAATTAACTATCGACGTTCAAACTGGCGAGCCACGTCTTAGAAACTTCCCTAAGGATGTTGTACTCGAACCATATTACTCTAAAAGAGAAACCTTACCCGCTACCAATGGTTATGATTCACTACCAACAATTATAAATTAAAAATAATAATATAAATAACCAATTTTATAATACAATCCAATGTTAAATATATAATATAATATATAATATACTCTTTTTATTCCCCCATATAAACCAATATCACTTTTTTTTTTTTCAAATCACTCGTTAAAAAATATATATATAACAAAAAAAAAAAATTAAAAAAAAAAATAAAACTATTTTGTACAAAGAAAAATATATATTTTCTCTACCAAAAGAAAAATTCCAATCAATCTTCTTTTATTTTCTATTATCTTATTTGTTCGAACGAAAGTTTTTTTTTTGGATTAAAAAAAAAAATATCTTATTTTTTAACCCTTTTTTTTTAGGAGGATTTTATTTTATATGTTATTCTCAAAAATTAAATTTTACATTATATGTTCCTTTGGCACAAAGGTCCTTTATTTTGGATTGAATGTATACATATAGATAATCAACTGCTTTTTGGATTGAATAGATAAATATAGAGAAAGTAACTGCTTTTTGGAAAAAAAAAAAAAAAAAAACTTTTTTTTAAAATTTTATTTTTTTAATTTTTTTTTTTTTTATTGAATTTTTTTAAATATTTTTTTAAATATTTTTTTTTTTAATAATTTTTATTATATTTATAACAAAAGAAAAAAAAATTAATAAATAGATTTATATAAATAAAATTGTATGTTTCATATTTAAAAGATAATAAACCCTTCTATCGTTCTAGTTTTTTTTTTTTTATAATATTTTCCAAAACAAAAAATCACAAATAGGAATAGAATCAAATAATTATTTTAACATTTTTTTAATATTTGTTTTTTATATCATAACTCAACTAATATATCTGTGGACAAAAAAAAAACCAAGAAAAAAAAATAACTTTTTATCAACCACCTCCCAATTCCCACAGACACACATATTTAATATTTTTAAATTTTAAATAAACCAAGACAAAATTAAAAAAATTATACACCAATACACACATCAATTTTTTTAAAAAATATCAATTCTATTTTTTTTTATTATTGTTTTATATTGGAACAAAAAATTAAGTTTTATAAAACTATAATATATTCATTTTGTTAGATTTTACACAATAACATATTTCCATTTTTATAAATAATTCATATGACTTTTTTTTATAATTTTCAAAAAAAAAAATAATTTTTAAAAATTATAATTTTAATTATTTATTTTTTTTTATTTTTTTAAATTTATAAAACAACACACAATTCATTATTTTATCATATTATAATTATTATAGCAATTAAAGGTATATTCCTTATAATCAGTATGTAACAGTAATAATCAAGTCATTAGTTATAATCACTTTTATTTTTAAAGAGATAACTATCTAAGATAATCGATTGTAGATTGAAACTTTTTTTAATTATAATAGTTGTATATATAAGACAATTAATTTAATCACATTTTAACTCATATATACCCATACTACCATTATTCATTGTTGTTAAGATTAAATTAATTGCATATTGTTTTTGTTTTTAAAGAATGCACATTGGTTTATCATTATTTAATAACAAATTTAGTTATCTCCAAAAGTATTGGTTTATATGTTTTTACTATCTTTTTTTCATTCTTCATTTACTAAAA